CAATTAGAGGTAGTCGAAAATGCATTGAATTCCCACTCCAGTCAAAAGTGTTCTAGAAGAGATATGCTTAATTTATCTCCTTAAAATGAATAGAAGAATGATTCTGATCATTGTTGGAAGAAAGTAAAGTGAAATAATCAGGCTTCATCGACAGAACAGTTTTATGATCGTGATAACCTGGTAAGCTTTTGCTTTCTTTTTTTTTCTTTTTTTTTCCTTCTCTTCCTTTTTTTGCTTTCTTCATCGACACCATTGTTCTGCAACTCCATGAGTTTGTCTTTCAAGACAAAGCATTTTCCAACTGGATGGCTAATTAGCTTATGAAATGTGCAGTAATTTGGATCATCCACTCGATTTGCTTCCTTTTAGCGCTTCATCTTTGCCAATTGGATGTGTTTAGCTTTATGCAATTCATCCAACATACTTGAAACGTGAGAATTAGAAAAAGGATAGCTCTTTTCCTGCCACTCCTTTAAAGTAGCCTTCTTTCTTTCTATTATCTGAAAAAGAGTGGTCTTCACATGCTGCTTCTTCTTAGTCCAAGGTTGTAACTTGATTGGTACTATTATCACAGCCATAGACTGCTTACTTTTTGACTTGACAGGTGTTTTAGCGAGTTTCTACACTTCCGGCTTATCTTTCCTCTTTTTGGGTTCTTGAACTGGGATATTTTGATTCGCATGATCAGAAATACTGAGCTCCATGTCATGAGCTCGAGTAGCCAACTCTTCAAAAGTATAAGGCTTGATCCCTTGCAAGATGTAGCGCAAGCCCCAATATATGCCCTTGATACACATATCAATTGCTGAGGATTCTGACAGCTGATCTTTGCAATTCAAACTGAGACTTCTCTATCTTTCAATGTAGTCAATGACAGATTCCTCCTTCCACTGATGAGTAGCAGTGAGCTCAATCATACGAACTACACGTTTGGTGCTGTAGAAGCGATTGAAGAATTCTCACTCGAGTTTTTCCCAGCTATCAATAGAACTAGGCTTGAGATCCATGTACCAATCAAAGGCATTTCCTTTCAAAGACCGAACGACTTGTTTGATGAGCAGATCGCCTTCCGTGCCAGCATTGTTACAAGTTTCACAAAGTGGGCTACATGCTGTCTTGGATTTTCCTTTCCATCAAATTGTTGAAACTTGGGAGGTTGGTAATTTGATGGCATGCTCATCATGTCGATCCTCAAAGTGTACGGCTTTGAATAGGTGTAGGAAGGCTGCATTGTAGTCTCTAACTAATCTTTCAGGGCTTAATCAGCTCCTTCAGTTCAATAGTTGAGATTGAGCTATCGACAGTAAGTTGGAAACCTTTTTCTAGGGTCTCCTTTGATGATGTCTCTTTCAGCGGCATAAACCCTTTTGATGCAGATTCATCCTTTTTAGACATCTAACTTTTTCCAGTCATGCTATCTAACCTGTTCATGAGGTAGGCAATTTGGTTATCTTTCTCTTGAAGAGCATGATTGAGAGCTTCCAGTTGCAGCTTCAAAGCATCCAGTTCTTCGCCTAACATAGTTCCAACCATCATAACAGATATAACATCAGAAGAGTTTATTTTTGAAGTAGTTGACCACTTTTGGGAGCTTTCTCAGTAGACTCCACTAGAATTGGCGAAGCAACGATAGCTTGTTGAGGCAGAGGAGTCGCCTTCGCATAGATTTCAGCGACAAACTTTGTCATGATATTTGCATCAAGACTTGAGTCAATAGTGGATCTGACATTGAGAGAATTCGAAGCACCAGTTCATGCGGCCTTTGAGGTGATAGTGATCTTCTTTTGTTCCATTGAATCTTTTGGCTGATTTATCGAAACTCTAAAACTTGCAAAGTGAAGAGATGAGAGGTAGAGAGGTCACACTGGTGCCAGAAATCTGTATGTGTAAACTTTGTTCCTGAAAATTAAGAAATAAAATACAAAAATACAAATTGAATTTATGATAATAAGTGGATACAATCTCTACTGTGGAATCTCCTATTACAAAGAAGATTATCCTTTGACTCTTCTCTTTGTTGTCTTGGACACGATTCAAGAGTCGAAACGACTCGATCTTAAAGACGATTCAACAGTCAAAAGGATTTGACGTTGAATTGATGTAGAATGAACTTTAGACGATTCAAGGATCAGAGAGACTTGATCTTGAATTGAAGTTGAAAAAACTCTGATTCTTTGGACTTGAGAGAAAGATTTGTAGTCTTGAATTTGACAGAGCTTTTGGGCTTCTTTTCTGTCTTTCTCCCTATATGTGTGTGTGTGTATCTCCGTATATGAAGAAAGACCTCCTATTTATACAGATTTGAGGGAGTACCCTTGCCAAGTATGTAATTTGATTGTTCCACTTGGCAAACTCTCATTGGCTGCTGCTGCATCACTTAGCTTATGTAGACGGCTGACTTATTCGCCAAGATTTAATTTAATTGGTCCAATTGGCTAATTTTTATTAGATTTTACTACATTATTTATTTATTCAGTAAATAATATTTATCCAATATTTTTATTTTAATAATCATTTAAACATTTTGATTGGTTATTAAAATAAATTATTTCATTTAACGAACCAATAATTTCATTGGCTGATTAATAATTAAGTTAATTATTAAATTAACTTAATAAAATTTTGGTGCCTACAGTATATATATATTCACTACAAAAAAAGCGCCGAATTGCGACCAACTAAAATCGATTGCAAATTTGCGACCTATGGACAAACAGTCGCTAATTCTAGCGCTAAAAATTCCCGCGAGTTTGTTTTTCAGTTTGCGACCAGTGTATTATGGATTTGCGACCGATTTTGCGACCGATTTGCGACTACGTTTTATTCCGTCGCAACATTGCGTGCTTCAAAATTAGGAATAAGTCCTGTGACCGATTTGTGACCGATTATTTGCGACCTAAAGTTTGAGTCGTAAATCGGTCGCAATTTTATTGCGAAGTAAAACGACGTTGTAGAGTTAAAATTTGCGACCGATATTAATGAAATTTGCGATCGACAGGTATTAGGGCTTTAAACGCCAGACGCTCTCCTTCTTCTTTCTTCTTCTTTCTTTCTTCTCCTCCTCCTCTCCTCTCCTCCGTTCGCAGTGCTGCTCCAGCCCTTCTTGACGCCGCTCCAGCCCGCCTGACACCGCCAGCTCCGCTTCGTTACAACTCCGGTCATTCCATTGCTGTTTGGACACAAGTTGAGGTAAGTTTTGCGATTTTTTTTCGATTTTTTTTTTGGACCACCGCCAGCGTCCGCTTTCGTTACAACTCCGGTTTCATTCACATTGCTGTTTTGGACACAATGTTTGAGGTAAGTTTTTTGCGTTTTTTCGATTTTTTTTTTTTTTGCGATTATGTGTTTGTATTATATAATTTTTGCGTTATTTTTGTGTTTTTGGCGATTAGGAATTTAGTAGCTGTTATATTGATTATTAATTATTTTATTATTATTATTATTTATTTATTATATATTATTATTATTATGTAAAATATATAATATTGTTACTGTTATTATTATTATAATTATAATAATTATTATTATTAATATTGTTGCTGTATTATTATTATTATTATTATTATTATTATATTTATATTATGTAATTTAGGGAAGGATTAAATATAATAAATTAAAGAAGATAATAAATTTATCAAGGAATTAAATTAGAAAAAAATAAAATATATATATTTAATAATTTAGGAAGCAAGTTTTCATGTCATGTTAAGTGGAAAACAAAAATTAGTTAGTTTTTTAATAGTGTTTAAGGTAGTATAAATTGATAGTTTAATTTTTTAATAGTTAATTATAAAAGAATTAAAAGAGGTAAAATTTGATTTAGTTAATTATTGGTTAAATCATTAATTTTAAACTCTATATTAAGATTATTTCGTCAATTTAATATCATATATTTTAGTAGTTTAATTAAGTAAAAAATTATAAAAACAGTACCGAGTTAGAATAAACAAGTTTTAATATGTATAAACACATATTAAAAAAAAAAAAAAAAAAACTAGTCCAATTATAAAGTTATAACTTTTGCCACATGATACCATGATTACAAATAGCAAAATAAGAAGCCAATTGTTTGAACATGTAATTAAAATTACTCTTTCTTATAATATGAATAATGGCTTTTTTTGTTATTATTCTTTTTTTTTTTTTAATGAATTGATGCTTTTGGTTTGAGGCCTAGTAAGTGGCCGATTTTGCCTTTGGAGATGTTGGTATGATATAGAAGGTTTATTGAAGTTGTCTTATATTTGAGATTTGATTGTGTTGTGCCGCCCGAAGTACTGTCGATTTTTTTTTCCAAAAAAATCAATATGCTAGAATAAGTACACTCCTTATTAGGGTTAAAGGTAATAAATGAACTTAGTGATTTAACTTAGTGATTTTACATTTATATATAGTTACCCTTATTATAGAAATAACCTTAGTTAGTTAGAAGTGTAAATTGAACATTACATTGTGGCATCTTTTAAGGATGGTATAGACTAATACAATTACATATAATTTGCCCCTTATAAACACAGTGTTAATTGGGTAAAAAAAATGCGACCTAATCGAGATTGGATGTACTAGAGGTTCAAGGTTAATGGGATAGTAAGCCAAGAGTTTCTGTGAGGATTGGAGCTGTTTATACAGTTTGCAGTTGGTAATCCCAGCTGTATGGAAGGTAATAAGTTGAGGTGTCCATGTAATCATAAGAAGTGTCGAAATAGAGCCTTCTTAGACATCGATACAATTAAACTTCATTTATGCAAAAATGGGTTGAAAAATTATTACGACATGAATTACTCGATGTGAACCTTGACTGTTGCTATGTGGGCAGGGCCACCTCCATTCCGGTAAGTAGAAGGGTCAGCCTATCAATTCTATATTGGTAATCAATGCAAATGATATTGGTAATCGATGCGAGTAGATAGAATGTCATTTGGATAATATGGAGGAAATGCCAAACTTAGCAGCACAACAATTATTTGACATGCTAATAGTGCCAGCCACAACAGTGAACTATGGCCTGGATGGCAAGAACATTTCAGTTTTATCTGTTGTGGCAAACGATTACTACACTTGAAAGCGGGAAGCACCATTTTTCAGAAAGGTGTTGTTACGATGATTTTGTTGCAGTTAGTAAGTACTTATTTCACTTTTTCCAAAGGTCTGCAGGCATATTTTGTAATTATATTTTGTACTTATTCGTAACTGTGATGCTTTCGTGTAATTATATTTCACTTCTGTTTTTTTTTCAGCATATATCCACCTTCTTGAGCAGCGAGGCAAATTTTGAAGATAATCAAGCTACAGCTGCATAAAGAAGGATGCACATGGGATGCCGTACCGCAAGAGGTGAGAGACTTTTATTGGGAGGAATTCCAGGTACTCTTTGGTTTAAGTTATATCATCATTCAATGTTTACAATTCAAGATACATCCTTAGTATTTAAACGCTATATTTCATTTTTTAGCAGAAACATTTCATATGGGACGAGGCCATTACGGCTATGCTGAAAGTAGCCTGGGAGAAGATATGCACCGATCAATACGCTGACTTCACCTATAGGATGAGAAGAAGCGGTAATAAGCAGCAGTGCGTGTCTCAGGAGATATGGGAGAGCTGGCAAAAGGCTTGGGAGGATCTTCAAGAGAAAACGGTGAGGAGATAATTTTGCACCAAAAATAGGCGCGAGTGAGAACTGCGGTGTGGAGCAACTGGCGGTGATAGAGCAGGACCTTCTCGACACTCAGGTGGATCAATATCTGCTATAGAGACATCTCTATTATTAGTAAGTGAACTAGTCTCAGTATATGAAACTGATGTTTAATGAAAGGACACTATATATATTAATATATCATGCATCAAAATTCATTACAGGCTAAAAAATTAGGTCGTGAGCCAACACCGATTGAGCTGTTTACATACACTCACACGAAGGACCATGATCTTAATACGTTTGTCGATAGACGTGCGATGAGCGTCAATGTAAGTAACATTGAAAAATATTTACATTTACCCTCTAGTCGTTGCGAAGATGTACAAAGTTCAATATAGCAATTGCATTGATTAATTAATTTTTTGTTTTCAGGAGAACTATACTACAGCTCCGGAGCGTATTGTTACTTCTCAGACCGAAGAATCTGAAGCTGATTAACGGGTGGACCGGGAAGGGGTGTTACAGTAGCACTTTATCTCGAGACTGTAGGGGGCGGAGAAGAAGAGGAAGGTATACGGCATCGGGTCTCAGGCATCACAGTTTTACTGCGGCTCAGCATCTCACGCTTCTGCACCCAGCGCACGACCACAACCCAAGCACACTGTCGAGGAGTTTACTAAATTACGGGCTCGTGTTGATGATCAGCAGAGACAGATTGCGAAACTTAGAGCGCATGTGATGCGGCTGTCCGGTGAGCCCGATGCTGGTTCTTCTTCCTTTGATCCTGCGCCTGCTACAGATCGAAATGTTTCGACATCTTAGCAGCAGCCACTTCCGTCTCTTGATCCCGATGCTGCAAACGATACCTTGGTCACCCCTCCCGGCACTACAGCATATCCAGCAGGTACTCCTCCCGGCGATTCGACATCGGATCATGCAGATGACGGCAATTCGACATCGGATCGTGCAGATGAGCAACTGCGTAGATTTGATTTTGGACCTTTTTAGTTTTTCATTTGTTTTGTGACATATTGCTCAGTACAATAACAATTACATTTTTATATTGTTTTTGAATTACGTTTGTGATATATATATAACAAACACCCAAAGATCGCCCGATACTAAACATTTAATTAACAAATAGGAAATTATTTATATTATCTAAATTTAAATCATATACATATATATATATATATATATATGTCAATTTGCACATGTGCGAAAAAATTATGGTTTTATAATAATATTTATTTTTTTTCTATTTTTTTAAATATTGCAACCGATTTGCTACCAAAAATAAAAATTTTAAATTTACAATTTGCGACCGATTTACGAGCGAATTTCATAATTGCGACAGATTTTTTCTGCGACCAATTTGAGATAGCGTTTCCAAATGAAAACACGACCAAAATTTGCGACCGATTGTTCAATTTTGCAACCGACTTATCAGTCGCTAATTTGCGACAGACGGAAAAATCGGTCGCAAAGGACTTTGCAACAAGCATTGTTGCGACCGATGTTTTTCGGTCGCTAATTGAATTTAGCGACCGATTTTTGGCATTTTGCGATCAATTAGTCGGTTGCAGAATACCATTTTTTTTACGTTAATTAAAATTGGAGTCAACTTAGGGTTTTTTCCTAGTTTACCCTAAAATAATTAAACAAGGTGGCAACTCACACATTCACGTGCATTTCTTGTAACATCCCTTCCCGGTCCACCCCGTTAACCCGAATGAACCGAGTCGAGACGTTACAAAACTGGTTGAATGTATGTTCTGACATGCTGATGTCATAATGGTTACTGACTATTTTATTATACAGAAATTGTTTACATTAATAATGTAATGGATATATACATAACATGATACTAGTTGTACAAAATGGAATGGGCCCAACTTACTTGCTATTCATTATGCTGTATGACTTATGCACTTTTAGTCACATCATATAAATTACGATTAATAACATCTCATGACTGTATGACTCTTTACAGAAGCAATAATTAAACGTGTAAGCATATACAACAATATACGTTCATGATCTTACCTGATGTTCTTTATGTTGTATGAATTCTGCAACTCTGATTAAACTCAGTGAATATTACAATGAATAATGAAACATAGAAACATATAAGCACATACATATGTAGAAATAAACATGTACTTACATATGGAATGTAAGCACACAGATCATGATATTTTCATTTTATCTTGATAATCTTTCTTGCTGTATAGTAGACTGTATGATTCATGAAATGTTATGTCAAGATATCTGTATGGCTCCATAAGGTCATAGTGAAACCGAAGTGATAAGATAAACTGTATGAAACTGGATGAAATTGTATGCCATAGGCCCCAAACCGGATTCGCCTATGCCAATATTGTCCGTTTTGGTGCCCCTAACCGGATTTGCACCGCACGGTTTAATCATATCCACTCAACCACCTCAACGGCCTGTAAGCGGAGTTCCAAACTGTATGGCTACCACATACCCTCCATGAGAACTCTTACGGTTGACGGGGTGAGCGAGCAGATCTGCCTATCCTATGTCCCCGACATGCCTTATCTGCCTGGTTTTCTTACCTAACCTCAATGGAAGCTTCTTATGTACATGTCATTATAACACTATAACACCATAACACATAAATGATTGCATAACTTCATAGTTCATCATGTTGATTTGATTTCCATCATATGAATGCTTGTATGTTGTTTTAATCCATGTTCTTATGTTGTATTTTTGTTGTAAAATGATGCATGTTGAGCAAAGGAATGTAATTACATAGCAAATGAAAGGCAAAAGAGTGTCACAGCATAAGTCGCGAGCGCGCCTTGCAACATCGCGAGCGTGAGAATCGCGACTGAGAGTTAGAGGGTTTCTGGCTCAAGTCGCGACCGCGTATGTGAAAGTCCCGAGCGCGACTTGTGCATCCTGAGAGTCAGTGTGTTTCTGGCTGAAGTCGCGACCGCGCAACACAAGTCGCGAATCACACAAGCGCGAGATGCGCACACTGAGAGTCAGAGAGCTTCTGGCCAAAGTCGCGACCGCGCATGTGATCCTCGCAAGCGCGAGTTGTGCAATTGAGAGTCAGAGATGAAAGGCAAAAGAGTGTCACAGCATAAGTCGCGAGCGCGCAATGGGAAGTTGCGAGCGCGACGTGCTTTCCAGCATGCGCGAGCGCGCGACGTGATTCTGTGCAGTCTGTATTCTTTTGGCCATAACTCTCAATAGCTAATTCCAAATTGAGTGATTCAAAAACGCGTGTCAAGCTAACACAGAAGCTAACACAGAAAGGAACAAATAACTCTTCTATGACAACAAATAACTCTTCTATGACAATTCCTAATTCCATCATTATATGGGTTCAAAATCAAGATGAAGTTGCTGGTAACATTTCCAGCAAACTTTGTTTCCGCTTCATATATTCATCCCCTGTTTTCACATCATTTCCAGTACTTCCACCCAACAACAAGCAACATATCATCTCATTGGCAACACACTACACAATTTACATGCAAAGAAAGTAGTAAACAACATGAGATATCAAACCTTGACGTCAAAAGCTTGAACTCTGTTTCAGCTTCTCTTTTCTGCAACTTTTGAACTTTCCTCTCCTATACACAAGAATTCTCATAACTCATCTCCAATAGAACTAAATGAAATAGGAAATAACATCACACTTCAAGGAATTCTACTTACTTGGAGTGTAACGTGACATGAAACTTGCAAAGGAAACGGGAGGGAAATAAGAGAAGAGAATATGAAAAATGGTGAAAGTTGAGTGATTAGAACGGGTAGTAGTCTCTAGAAGAAATGACTTGGTGTGTAACATATTACTTTGGTAACCTTTCAAGTTACAAAGACACAACTATAATACCCCACACTGTTATGTTTGGCTGCAACAAGGCCTTTAAACTTTTTCATTGCAAATAAGTCCACTTATCATCTCATGCTACCCCAACCGGGGTTTGGTTCAACCCAACTCACCCTTCCTCTATGAAATTGACTTCAAAATCAACGCAACTCAACTCAACGCACTAGGATGTTACACCATGGTTCTAGAATCGCCGATTTTAATTCTAAAACCACCGGTTTCGGTTTCAAAAAAGATAAAATCGGAACCGAACCGCTTTTAGATGGTTTTGAAGCAGCCGTTCCAGTTTAGAACCGAATTTAGATAACTTTTTTTTAACATTTTTAGTTTTTTTAGCTAAATAAGAAAATTAATAACAAATAATAGTATTAAATTACAAAAAGACTAAAAGAGTAAATTAATAGTTTTAAAATTTATTAAAAAATTATAACTACACATAACATAAATTTAAAATTCTTTACTAGTATTTAATTTTTATAAATTTTAAATTGAGAGACATGTCAAAAAATAGACATGTACTCAATTTATATTAGAAGAAAATAAATGATAGGAGAAATTCAATGGAGTTTATTTTAGAGAAAAAAAGAATTGATATTTAAAAAACAAAAGGAAGATTATTAAGGTTTATTAGTTAACATATAAATTTTTATTCATAAAATTACCCTTCAAATTTTTCTTTTTTTTTTTATTGTTATAAAGGATAAACATGTCCTTTAATTTTATTTAACAATTAACAAAAAATATCATAATATGAATTTTTTAGTTTAAAATATACCCTTCAAGCAGCCATTTTATACCGTCATAAAGGGGAAAAACGTCTTTCTATCTAAATTACGAGTTAAAAAATTACAATATAAATTTTTTATTCCAAAAAATTCCCTTCAAATTGCCGTTTTTTTACCGTTGTAAGGAAGCCAAATGTCTTTTTATTTTATTTAAGAGTCAAAAATAAATTTTAAATAAATATTATAAATTTATTATTTAATTTATATGTAAAATATATATATTATAAAGGGTAAAAGATTTAAATTAAAAATATTTAAATGAGGAGCAATTTTTTTTTCTCTTTTTCAACTTATATTCTCTTTTTTTTTTCTCTTTTTCAACTTATATTTTATAAATTATATTTATATTAATAAATTTTAAGATGATGGTAAAGTTATTGCATTTAATAATAAAAAATAAAATTAATTTAACAGTTAAAAATCATGTGTGAAGTGTGATATTATTTTTAACAGTTTTAAATTGGAACTACCTGTTTCGAACCAAAACTGCCAATTTTAATTTCTAAATATAAGGAACTGCAATCGAACCTTAAACTGCCAATTTTGATTATGGTTTGGAACCTTGCATAGTTGACCACAGTTTGGTTCCAGTTTTGACCGGTTCAATTTCGGTTTGTTTTCGATTTGGAACCGAACCGTAGTCATGCCTACAAATGGTGGATTTAAGAGGGGAGTGAGAGTGACCCACCTTAACTTAAAAAATTCAAACTTTTTTAAATATAATGTATAAGTTAGAGCCCATTTGGAAATCCAAAATTCAAAATGTTGTGGAATTTATTTGGAAATCCAAAATGTTGTGTTTGGAATGAAAAAAAAAAAATACAGATTTGAATTCTACGAATTGAATTCTATGAAATTGGGTATGCCTAACTCAAATTCTACTAAAATTGATGGAATAATTGGGTATGCCTAACTCAAATTCTACTAAAATTGATGGAATTTATAAATAAATTCCATAAAATTGACCATTGAAATATTTATTGACAAGTTACTCTCTATTATAAATTCAACTATTCTTACTTTTTTTCTCTTTTTTATTTATTTTCTTTGCAAAATTCAAAATTATAACAGCGTTATTTTTTTTAATCAATAATGACGTTAGTTTATATGTTTATATTTTTTCTTTTTTATTTTTTATTTTTTGCAAAATTCAAAACCAGTAACGACTTCTTTTTTTGAAGTTTAGTAATAATGTTAGTTACTATTAAATAATAGTAACATTCTTAATATTTTTTTTTAGTTTCCAAATTAATTACTTAAAATCAATTAAATTTTTTACATCAATTAAAAAATAATTATTATGATAAACGTTACTGCTTATATAATTAATTAATAAGCGTGAAATATTAATGTACTTATTTATATGAAATTTATTATATATATTTTAATAAAAAATGACAAATTATTATATTATAGATAATAAATATAATTAGTTTTTATAATTTATTTTCGGGTAAATGATAAAAAAAATCCTAAACTATGGTCATTTTTATAAATTTAACCAATTTTTTTAATTTTAACAATTATATCAGTGAACGTATTCTTTCGTTGCAGTTATAGCCTCCGTTGTGTATCCATTATGAAATTGTTGATGTTACCATTAGTAGGACCCACATTTTGACACATCCGCACCACATCACCGTGCCATGTCGGCTAAAAAAGCTAAATAACTAAAACAAAACCCTAAACTTCATCAATTTTAGCCAATTCTTTTTCTTTTTTTTTTTTAATTTTGAAAAATCATATGAGTTGTTTCACAATATTTACATATACATACTTCGCACATAATTAATTATAGTTTAATGATGTAAAATAATTAATATATTATACAAAAGTAAGAATTTAATTTCAAAATATTAAAATAAAATTATAATACACAATACATTAATATTTCCTATTTAATTTAAATTTGAAAATTTTTAAAATTAAAAAATGAATTACTGTATCCCAAATTTTGATTTTAAAATAAATAACTTTTTAAAAATATAACAAATTGAAAGAAAAAAATTCATATGACATCAATTGTCAAAGTTAAAAGAACTGGCTAAATTTGTAAAACTGATCAAAGTTCATGCCTTTTTCAGTTATTTTACTTTTTTTGGCTGACGTGGCATTGTGATGTGGCAATGATGGTGTCAAAGTATGGACCCCACTAATTGCAACGTCAACAACTTTTAACAAATATATAACGAAGGCTATAATTGCAATGAAAAAATAAATTCACTACTGCAATTGTTAAAATTAAAAGAATTAGTTAAATTTGCAAAAATGACCATAGTCCATGATTTTTTTTGATCATTTACCCTTTATTTTTGTTAAATTATTATGTCAATTGTGTTATAAGAAATAAAGACAAATAAATTTTCATTTAAGAATTTATTTCAAACATAATTTTGTGAAATTCAATTGAATTTCTTATTTTAAATTGTGGCATACCAAACTTGACAAATTCATTTGCAAATGAATTTTACTTGAAATTTATTTACAAATGAATTTTATAACCATCATTCATTTGTTCCAAACAGGCTATTAGTGTGAACAAATTTTTTTATTTTTTTCTCATAACTTTATATATATATAAAGTATTATATTTTAAATTACATATTATGTATCATAACAATTGGCTTTATACAAAGTAAGACAATTATTTTAAATTGCTTATCTGTCATCTATTCGCAAATTATCGATTGGACATTTAAAAAATTAAATAATTAAAAACTTTATATTTGAGTACTAAAGGTATTTTTTATTCTTTTTTTTTTTTAATAATATATATACATATTTATAAAACATTGTATATACTTTTTACCGATTATGTTTAATTAAATTTTTAATTATTAATCTTTTCTACTTTTAAGAAAAATTATATTATATAGAGAAAAATTTTTTAATAAAAAATGAAAACATAACTTAAAAATAACTTTTATGAATTAGTTTAAAAATAATGATTAAACTAAATTAATAACTTATCTCACACCAAAACTTTTTGACCTTCTTTTAAAAATCACTTTATAATAAAAATCATATTAATCTATTTTAAAAAAAAAAAATTACTTTCATTTTATACTACTTAACACTATTTAAAAAAACTAACATATATTTTCGGATATTATCCTTAGACATTAAGCAAAAAATTTCCTATGACATGAAACTTATGGCTTGACTATCCCACCATATTATTAGTTATATATCAAATATTTTGTTTATTATATTTTCTATTAAAATTCCTATAAAAATTTATTAATAAGCAATTATCTTAATTATATATTTTAATTCTGCCTAACAATAATATAAATAATAATAATTAATAATAATAATAAATGAATGAACCTAAATTTGATAAAACTGATCAAAAGTTCATGCCTTTAGCTATCACAAATATAAAATAAATGTAATTTAATTCATTATTATTAATACTATTTTATATATTTAATAACTAGTTAACAATATTATATTTTAATAATTAATTAATTAATAATAATAATAATAATAAAATAATAAGTACGAATTTTATAGATAAAAATAATTAATTAACAGTACCTAATCCCTAATCGCCAAAAAATACACAAAATAACCAAAAAAATATAAAAAAATAAAATTCCGGCAAAGAAAAAAAAAAAAATCGAAAAAAAAAAATCGCAAAACTATCCTCCAACTTGCCAAACGCAATGAGTCATGACAGAAGTGGATAACGAAGCTGTGCCGGCAATGATGGTGTCAAAAAGTTTATTGGACCCCACTAATGCCAACGTCAACAACTTTTAAACAAATTATATTAACGAAGCTATAAATTGCAATGAAAAAAATTAGATATTTCACTACTGCAATTTGTTAAATATCTAGGAAAGCGAAGGTTGAGTTCAATGATTTGGCAAAATGACCCAAAGTCCAGATTTTATTTTTTTTTTGATCATTTAACCCTTTTATTTTTGTTAAATTATTATGTCAATTGTGTTTATAAGAAATAAGGGACAAATAAATTTTTATTTTTAAGGAATATTATTTTTCAAACAAATCACTCTCTTTGTGAAATTCAACTTGAATTTCTTATTTTAAATTGTGGCATACCAAACTTGACAAAAATTCATTTGCAATTGAATTTTACTTGAAATTTATTTACAAGAATGAATTTTTTTATAACCATCATTTTTCATTAGCCAGCTGTTTCCGAAAACAGAGCTATTAGTCGTTGAAACAACAAATTTTTTTATTTTTTTGGCTATAACTTTACATATATATCATATATATATATATATTATATATTATATATAATATATAGCATAATAATTTTTTTATCACCTAAATTCTAGCTTTATAATTGTAGTGTACCTCTTTAATACTAAGGCCTCGTTTGGTTCAAATTCACCTACTTCCCGAAAGTTCACTTCCAGGAAGTAAAGTTCCAAGAAGTTACTTCCGAGGAAGTACAATGTGAATATATTTTGTTCATATATTGAATTCTTGGGAAATAACATGGTGTTAATGAAATTTTATATATGAAATGACAATAATGCTCATACCATTGAATTTAAATATAATAATTGCAATAATTCATTGAAAGGACAAAAATGAGATTATTAAATTCTAGAGGTTAGGAAGTGCACTTTCTTGGGTTGAGGAGACGAAGTAACTTCCTATATGGACAGGACGTTGAGCAATTCAACTTCCCGGGAATTTCTTTATTTTTGGAAACCAAACATAATCAAGTTCATTACTTTTCGAAAAAGTCTAAATACCGGAGTTCACTTACCCCCCCAACTAACGAGGTCTAAAAAGAATAAAGAAAGCAAGAGTGATAAAGTTCATAATAAAATTCCAAAATTTCAATGGTTAATATAGCTAAATGTATAAATCCATATCTCTATTTTTTGTAAAAAAAAATTAAAAAATTTATGACACTTCAAATTTTTTAGAAAACCTATTGTGTATTTAAAGTTTCAATTTCATAGTTTTGCACGCATCTGCACTTTAACAATAATAATTTTTAAAATTTTTAGATTTATATATGAATATAAATTTACTTTACACATTTAATTTTTATATTTTACAGTTCCTTAATAAATATTTAATTAATCTATTTTTAATAATTTTATAAATTATAGTATTTATAAATTATAGTATTTAATTATAGTATTTAATAATTTTATAAATTAAAAATATTCAACAAATAAAAATTAAAAAGTACAAGGAGATGCCAAAAAGTAAACAATCTGAATCCTCGTTCATAATAAAACAAACAGAGAATACATCATCCATCTGACATCGGTTAGGGCGACAACTGACATCATCCTCCTACTCGTAACAGTATTTTTTTTTTTCTATTTTTTTAAGACGACTATAAGAGTCCACTTACCATCTTTTTATTATTGATGGCATTTTTTTCCACTGGGGTCCAAAATAGTCGCTGTATAACACACAAAATTCTCACACTCTTCTTTAAGGTGGACGTTGACAATACCCTTTCATTTTCACACCACTTCATCATTTTCTTGAATCCAAATCCTCTCAAAAAATTTCCATCTGAAATAAAAAGAATCCTCAATGGGAGAAATGGTTGAATCATATTATTCTAATGAAGATTTACCACTCCACCACCATTCCAACCCTGTCCAAAGCCCCTTATCCACCCCTCTACAAGTTATCACCGTCCTAAACGGCGGATGTGGGGGCGGTTCCATGGGAAGGACACCGATGAATGGAGAAATGCAAGGAAGCGATTGCCCTGACGCTTGGCTTCCTATAACGGAATCAAGAAATGGAAACACTTTCACTTCAGTTTTTCATTTACTTTCTTCAGGAATTGGATTCCAAGGACTCCTACTTCCCCTGGCACTTTCCAGTCTTGGATGGTAAGTTCGTTCGTTCGTTTCTTTATTTATTTAGTCTCCGTTAGGTTAGGTGTCGTAGTAGGTGTAAGGTATCCATTTTTTCCCTTTAAATTAAATATTCTGGTCAATAAGTTAAAACAATAAAACTGAAAATTTTGAATACAAATTGTATTAAAGAAAAGGGCACCATTGTTGGATTATTATTATTATTATTATTATTATTATTTAAATCACATGGATTTTTTTTTTTTTTTTTTTCCGCTAGCATGAGATAAACAAGGACTCATTATATGTCATATTATAGGTATCTGTCTCTCTATTAAAATATCAGAAGACTAGGCAAATCCTTATACAGAGTCCATAATATGATATTTATACTCATGGAGTTGTCTATCTTAATTTTCTAATCTCACATAGGGAGTGCTCAGATACTCAGTCTATCTTGTAGTCGTCTGCTAAAGTTTCATTCTACATTATCACCAACATTTCCACAAATTCTACACGACTTTCTCTCTATAAGAGTGTGACGTGACACTAGATCTCTGGAATAGTCCTCCTCTTATATCAGATCTCGATAGCATATTCACGTTTTCGGATAATTTCTTGTGAGCGGACTCACAAGAAATCACACATATCATTGAGAAAGAAGTACAAAAGTGGGTATATTTACTCCCATTCTCTGGTAATATAAGAAAGAATAATACCACTCAGATATGAGAGGTGTAAGAAATCCACTATATGGTTATACAAAATTCTACTCTCAATATAATGAAATGTATACTACTCATCACCATTACATAAATATCCTGTAGGCACACACGACCATCAGTATATTACCAACCATACTACTGGATATCTTGTTATTCAGCGGCTACCAGTTACCCTTAACACACGCTCGGTCAGTCATACTGTCGAGCGGGCTGGGTATGTCTATGGTAGGAAGGGATCACCTCGCTGAATGTAGAGAATCAAGAGCTCGCCAAAGAGAGTACAGAACTGAATTGCACACCTGGACACGACTTAGGATCTTCCTCATCCATAAACGCGCGTACAAAATCAAGAAAAATGGGAGACACGGAGGCTCAATCTACACCAGTTGTTTTCAAAGTCTCTACTCATTCATTCTGAATTGTCGCTCAAAGAGTGCTCAGATCCACTATCTTACATATCCTGATACGGCCAACGTCTCTGCAGTCGCATTGGAATATATTGGCTCAATAGATCTAGATGTTCGTTGCTCTGTCTTCGAACAAGCTGTGTAATTTAGTCGTCCGGACTTCCTCTATTGGTCTACTCGCAGATGCAACGTCTAAGCGTTAACGCGCTGTTAATCGGGGGTCACTCATAATCTCCGTTGAGAATAGGTAAAATTTATTCATGCGTGCAGAGATAAAAGTTTAAAAACAACTTATAACCCTAGAAAAAGAATTTGTTGAATAATACAAACTAATCTCAAAAAAAAAACTGCTTACTTAATAGTAAATGATAGAGACATCCCTAGTTGGGGATATGATGTATTATGAGTTAATTATCTCATTATATGTAATGTAACACTGACAAGGATGGATACTTTGTTATGCTTTTTTTGGTGTATTTATGTCTCTGCAACTGTGGAAAAAAGAGTCTATGTAGCAAAGGATCTATCTGCGCGCTCCGTCCAAGAGAGAAATGATTATATATAGACCCACGAGATAATGCCTACTATACATATGCTCTATCTACAAGATTATAGCGATATTAAGAGTATTAGGATAAGATCTGTGAATGATGTACTTTGTGAGAGTGTGTCACAAACATGTACGAATGATGCTTAGAATGGCTAAGTATTATACGCAAATCTAAAAAGGAGTTGTAATGCCGCTGGAATAGCTTAGACACAATCAATTGTCTAAAAGGAGGACCCTAGAAAAAGTCCAACTATAGCACTGCTACGAATATATAGAACTGGAAGTCTATATCATAAACTAAGAATTACTGGAAAAGTAGTATTGTAATCACTCCTTGTAAAGTCACTCGAAGAAAGAGAGGTAATCATTTTTTTTTTTTTTTTTTTGAGCATTAGAGAAGGGATTCACATCCGGATATATTGCCGAGTCGTATATACATGTACTACAAGATTATGCCTTAAAAGATTAAATTGTTGAGATATTTGAATTTCCACTGTCAAGGTGCAATTCAATTTAAAATAAGATTGTATATCTTGCAAACATTGTATAGCCAAATCAATAAATGGAGTTTAAATAAATAAATATTGTATTTTATGCGAAAGATATTATAGTACCTTAAATTTTGCATTTGATCTATTATAAAATTAAACTTCCTTTAAAAAAAATTACATACTTAATTGTAAAATTTTTAATACTCAATTGCTAACTTGTTTTTATTCACATGCTAAAATAGAAAAAATTAAAATATCCAGACATTCCAAATATAATTATTTTTTTTTTTTAAAAAAATAATGATAAAAATGAAAGATGATTTGGAAAATTAATAGTCAAATAATAATTCAATCGTTTTAGAGGAGAAAGAGATCCTAGAATTTTTTCAATTTCATATTTTTTTATTAATTATGTAATTTAAATGATTTAATTTATCAGAAATATCTTCTAAATCCATGTATTATTGGATATTTAATGGAATAATGGGATGGAGAAAATCTAGTGATTTTACAATTTATGAATTCTACATTTCGTGAAATTTACAAAATCTATGGATTTTACGTTTCATCAATCAAAATCACTTCTTAATTTATATTTGTTGTGAGAGAATTTTATATGCGATAAATAATTTAAATATTTTATCGTACTTTTGTTATTTTATCCGAATTATTTATCTGGCACAAAGAAATTTAGGAAAAAAAAAATTGAATTGTTAAAAATTTTTCGTTCCTAGTAAATGAGGGATCCTAAACATTTTTTTTTAGTTTACAAAATTACTCTTAAACTTCATGTGTTTTTAATTTTTATATGTTAAAAATCCATGTAATTAAAAAAGTCATGTCCTTTTTTTTTTTTTTTTTTTTTTTTTTTTTTATCCAAAGTGAATTGGACTTTTATTTTTTTTTTTTTTTTTTTTTATTCAAGTGAATTGACTTTATGGATGCAGGTGGTGGGGAATCGTATGTTTCTGGGTTGCAGTTGCGTGGCAATTTTACACAAAATGGATTCTAGTACAGCTCCACGAGGTGGTTCCTGGATCCCGTTGCAGTAGATTTCTTCAACTTGCTATCCCGGCCTTTTGTTAGTAAGAATCAATAACCCAAATTAATGCCTGCAGTCTTTTTCATTTTATTATTTTCATTAATTATGCGCAATTTGATTAATTCCTTTAACCAACTAATTATTAAATATTGAAAACAAAATGTCTGAGCTTTAATTAATTCCTTTAACTAGTAGTTTAAATTTAAAGGTTAATTATTAATTTTAATAAATCAAATACTTGTAAAAATTATGATTATTTACATGAATAATTTATATAAAATTTGAGTTTAAAAATTTTAGAATTATCAATCTAAATCTAATATTAAATATATAAAATTGAAAAATAAACTAATGAATTTATAATTTGAAGGTTGAGCCATGTCTTTTTACATTCAAGTCTCAGTTGGTATTTGCATTTGGACAGTAATGGAACCGAGATATTTTTTTCTAAGGGTTTAAGTACTAAGTGTTTGAGTTTTGGTTTAAAATTTAAGTTGTGTCTAATATAGGACTTGTCGTTCAACAAAATACCAAATGTGGTTTCTGTGCAAGTAGCAAATAACCAATGCTGGCATAGTTGTACGTGAGCTGGCTGTAATAACTAATAAGGGGAAAAAATAGCTAGCTGACATGCCTCTTCTTTCTCATTTTATTCATTATCTTTGTATTTATAATATTTTAGGAGATCAATATTTCTAATTTTTAATATTTTCTTGAGTTCAAATGCAAATATATAAATAAATATTTTTTTTACTATCAATGTAAAAAAATAATAAAAAGACATAATGTGATAAAGAATTATTTTAAATTAATGAAACATAGGGTTGTAAAAAAATTTCTCTAACACGCTAAATGTTAAGTGTGATGACCTTTTAGAAAACGTTTATTCATTTTCTAAAAGCTACTTCATATATCAGGTTACCAAATATAATGATGTAGAGAAATAATGTTTTGACTAATTCAATATACTAAAAGCTATACAAGACATTGTTGCCGAACACAACCTAAACTTATTATGCAATTATCAAAAGGGAAAATTATTATTTCGTCCCTGAGGTTTTACATAATTATTTAGGTAGTCCTCGACATTTATACATATATATATAACGTCCCTGAGGTTTGCCACTCGACATTTATACACTATTATATATAAATCGTCCCTGAGGTTTTTTGGCCACCGAACATTATTAATTTGGTCTTCCGTTTTTAAAAAAAAAAAAATACACTTTTCCTGTTAAATTTTGAGAAGAAAAGACGAAATTATCTTTGAAAAAATAATTATTTCGTCCCTGAGGTTGCCATAATTATTTAAGTAGTTCCCGAGCATTTATACAAAATATTGTAATAACGTCCCTGAGGTTTACTTCTTGTCATATTAATTGATACTTTCCAAAAAAAATACAACTTTTTCGTTAATTTTGAGCTTGAAAAAGACGAAATTATCCTTTATTAAGGTTTTCATTGACATTATTGTCATCCCTTTTTTCTCTTAAAATTAACCTGAAACTTCAATTTTCACATTTCTCAAAACCAACGCGGTCTTTCATGCCACCCCTTTCTCATATTTCAAGTATTCATCTCCATAACCAGAATCACCAACAAAACTTAAAGGGCAAAAAATAATTATTTCGTCGCTGAGGTTTGCCATAATTATTAAGTTAGTCCCCGCCAATTATACAAATATTTATTAATTGTAGCTGAGGTTTACTTCCGTCATATTACTTTTGGTCCTTCCGTCCAAAAAAACACTTTTTTTGTGTTATTTTTTATAGAATGACAAAACTACCTAAATCCTCTAATCAAAGGAGGAGAGACAGATAAATGGATGGAAAGGGTGATGGATGGGCCTTGATGAGTTTTGGATTGAGTTTGGATGTTGGGTTTTAGTTTTGGTGGTGATCTGGTTATGGAGATGATAGTTTTTATTGACACGGTGGTGGCAATGAAGACTGCGTTGAGTTGAGGAAGATGGTGAAAATGTGAGTTTTAGGTATTTTAGAGGAAATGGATTAAGAATAATGTCAATGAAAACTTGTAAAGGATAATTTCGTTTTTTTCACTCAAAATTAAAGGAAAAATTGTTTTTTTTTTTTTTTTATGGAAGGACTAATTAATATGACGGAAGTAAATCTCAGAGACGTTATAAATATTTGTATAAATGTAGGGGACTACTTAATAATTATTATAAATGTAGGGGAATACTTGAATAATATTAATGGCAGAAACTCCAGGGATGATATAAATTACTTTTTTTTTGTCTTTTCTTCTCAAGATGTAACGGAAAGTGTAATTGGTTGATTTTTAGCGGAGATGTAACGAATTAACTATGAATAGGGTAAGCAAAACCTCAAGGACATTATATATATATGTAGTAGGTGTGGTGATGATACGAAGGAGCTATCTAGAATTATATTATGAGGATAAAGACCTGTTACGGGACAAAAATTAATAATTTTCCTACTTAATAATTATGGCAAAACTCAGGGATGAAATAATTATTTTTTTTGTCTTTTCTTCTCAAAATTAACGGAAAAAGTGTATTTTTTTTACGGAATGACCAATTAATATGATGGTAGCAAACCTCAGGGACATTATATATATATGTATAAATGTCGAGGACTATCTAAATAATTATATAAAACCTTAGGGACAAAATAATAATTTTCCCTTATCAAAAAGATTTCTAATGAAATCTTACAAGAGCAGAGGGAGTCATAGTCTCCTCAACACCCTTGGACATTGCTACTCAGAGTTCAGTTCAGAAAAAGCTCATTTGAACTTGTTTGATAAACTTATTGCGATAAGTTTAAGCTTACTTATCAAGGTTGCATTTAATAAAGTAATCGAGTTTGAGCTCAAATTCAAGCATGTAAACGAGTATTATCTTTAATTAAATGGTAAACGAACTGAATCATTTGAACTTAATTTTTCAAGTTCATATCAAATTCTAGCTGAAATATATCTCGGCATTAACAAAGTACGACTCGATTTGATTTGATTATAGTCAATAACATACATGAGATGGACTAGGGGTCGTCATTGTCCCTTAAATCCAATAATTTTTTAAATTTTTCTTTATAAAATTGTAAAGTTTTTTATTTGCCCCTCCAAATTTTTGAAAATTTCTCTTCAACTCTCCAACTTTAATTATGAGTAGTTATTATTGAAAGCTCTATATTTTGACAATATGAATGAAAGTAGTTAAAATTCATTTTTTAAGAATTCAAAATACTTAAATAAGAATTCTGAAGTATACTGTGAGATATTCATACTTGTAAAAATAAAAAATTACTTGTTAGAATTCTCGAAATGATGGTAAAAATATGTTGAAGAAAACTAAAATAATGTGGTAATTTGTAGGTCCAAAGTTGGGAAAATTACTGGCAATATTTCCAGTATTGTACCTATCAGGAGGCACATGTGTGATACTAATAATAGCAGGAGGAAAGACATTGGAGCTTTTCTTTCACACTGTATGTGATGCCAAATCATTGAGTGGGATAGAGTGGTTTTTAGTATTCACTTGTATCGCGATTGTGTTAGCTCAACGACCTAACTTGAATTCTATTGTTCTGTTCTCTCTGTTTGGTGCAATCACGGCCGTTGGATATTATACTCTGATTTGGGTATCTACCATATCTAACGGTAGACCTGATGGTGTGTCTCATGTCCCCCTACAGACAGAGAAATCTCGTATGGAAAAAATTAGCGCTGTTCTGAATGCTGTTGGAATAGTTGCTCTTTCTTTTCGAGGTCACAATCTGGTGCTTGAGATTCAGGTAAACGATTACTAATTATTTTTTTATTGCAGTTTTTATTATTCTATAATTGATGTTTAATGTGTTTTATATGTTACAATTTGGAATTTTAGGTATTGCTAATGTGCATTAATGAAAATTCAAAAACGATTGATGAAGCATTTTTATTGAAATTAAGCCTTTCTTTTTAGAAATAAATATTTATAAAGGAACAATAAATAGAAAAAATTTAAAATGTAATATGCAGTATAAGATATATATACGTTATTATGAAACTTTGCAATAAAAACTCTAACTCTTTACTTCAGAAATGAAAAAAAAAAAATTTAGATTTCAAATTTAAAAATTTAATTCCATGGAATTGAACATGGCTGCACCAAATCCTACAAAAATGGGTGAAATTTCCAAATGAATTCCACAAAACTAAGCAATCCAACTTTTTATGATGAAACTATCATTCACTATCTACAAAGTCAATTTTTCACTTTTTTTTAATTATTTAAATTATTTATTTTATCAAACTTGACCAAAATATTTTTAAAAAATTTATTTTTTTAAAAAAATTTTCTTATTTGTGTTTTTATTTTATTATTTTTCATCTTTATTTTAATATTTTTTAACATTTTTTTATTATCGATGAGAGAAATTCAAGTTAAATATCTATTTATCACTCAATTAAATACAATAATTTTATTAATATTCTTTTTATTTTATATATTTATTTTAATAAAAATATTAAAAAATTATAGCATAACATAAATATAATTAGTATTAATATTCTTTTTTATTTAAAATATATTTATTTAATAAAAATATTAAAAAATTATAAGATAAACATAATAATATATTTTATATATTTATTTTAATAAAAATATTAAAAAATTATAGCATAACATAAATATAATTAGTATTTATTATTTATTTTTTGAAATTACTATTTCAAGGATATTTTGGAAAACAAAAGCAAATGAATTTTCAATTATAAATTTGTTCCATATATGATTATATGGAATTCAATTGAATTATATGTTTTAAATTAATTATACAAAACATGAAGAATTCATTCACAAATGAATTCCATATTTTAAATTCATTTATACCAAATGGAACATTAAAGAAGAAAAAATTATTTTGACCGCAAAATTTTATGAGCCAGCCATAATGTAAATTGTATTGACCTTGAATTATTGTATTTAGGGAACTTTGCCTTCAAATTCAAAAAATCCATCAAGGAAAGTGATGTGGAGAGCAGTGCTTATATCATATCCTTTAATAGCCGTATGCTTGTTTCCTCTAGCAATAGTAGGATTTTGGGCTTATGGAGACAAGGTAAATTAAATTTCTTTTTATGTCTAATTTTGAGATTCTCTTCAAAAATTATAATGTCTGAAGATAAATTTTTACATATCACAACAATTTGCTTCGTAGATGTTCAACAAAGTTGGAAACATAAGCATAGTTTTGGAATTCTACAACCAAAAGGCCTCAAAAGTCATGAAGGGTATAATGTACATGTTAGTAATAGTAAAATGCTTCAGTTCATTCCAAATTTATGCTATGCCAGTGTTTGACAATTTAGAGTTGAGGTACATCAACATAAAAAATAGCCGGTGCTCGCGATGGGTTCGTTTCAGCCTGCGGGTCTTGTTCGGAGTACTTACATTCTTTGTAGCTATTACTTTTCCATTTTTGCCAAGCTTGGCAGCTTTAATTGGAGGAATGGCATTACCTCTAACTTTTGTTTATCCTTGCTTTATGTGGATTTCAATCAAGAAACCTCGGAGAAATGGTTCCATGTGGTGTCTTAATTTAGGGCTTGGGTGCTTAGGCTTGCTTTTGAGTTCTTCATTAGTAATGGCTGCAATATGGAATTTAGCCACCAAAGGGTTAAAAGCCAACTTCTTCAAGCCATAATGGTTATGTAGCTTTTAGGTAATTTTTGTAAATCTTACTGAAATATGAACTAATGTAACAAAATGTATGTATTCGGTTAAATACATTCATTACGACTTACTGAATATAGTTTGACCGTTGATTTCTTATAAATTTTCTTAAATGGACCTTTTTTTTTTCCCCACAATGGAGATCTTTGAAATTGAAGGATATTACTTCATAGTTGTGTCCCTGCCATTTTGTGTTAAAATTATACAGTCAAATTCCGAAACACACATCTTGCTCTTCACCCTCACTATCTCGGTAGCCAAAAACTTTTTTAATGAAAAACTCAGCACTAAAAACATTTTTTTTTGCTCATTGAGCTTTTATTAACTATCGTGGAAGTTTTGTCCTATTATAGCAATATATATAATTATTTATTTTATGTAGGAAAAAACTCACCACTAAATTTTTTTATTATTAAATAAGTTATATTTTTTATTTTTAGTTATTAAGGATTTGTTGATATTAATAATCTTTAGTTTAGCTCCCAAGGATATGTTAAAGATTAGTATTCTTAATCAAATTTTCCTTATTCTTGAATTATTAATTTTAATTTTTAGCCTTAACTATCAAAATTTTTTTTGGTTTTAACCATTTAAGGTTTAATTTTGAGTTGTTATACCTTGAATACTTTAATTAATATTATTTGGCTGGTAAATATTCATAATTTATATTATAAAATAATTAATATTGACTACTTGATATGTTTATGTTGGCTGAAATTTCTGATTTTATTGAAGTTATATGATATTGTTTTGGTCTGTTTGTATCTTTCACTCTGTTTTCATTATCATATTATAAATAATTTATTCCTTTTATTGTGCCTCGCCACTCATTCCTGTAAATAATGTGTTTATAATTATTATTGAGCCATAAAAATAGAAAATTAACGTTATACTTATTATATTTTGATTCCTCGAATTAATTTTTAATTTCAATTTTTGAATAATAATACATTTATTGTTATTTATTTTTCAATATTAATACTAAGGTTTTCTTATTCTATAATAAAATCATTATCATTATTTTTTTATTCTATAATAATAAAGATAGTTGAATTAATGAATATTTGTATTCAAAATTTTATAGAAAAGAATATGAATATGGAAGATTTGGATATGGTGATAATTTGACCGATACTTAAGGTATCCCAAATAGAATACAGTATTAAAGTGTGAAATAATAAAGCTCCTTGTAAACTCAAGAATAAAGAGAATAAGTCAGTTTAACTAGATGTAAGACGGCATGACATGATTCTTTCTCTTTTAACACGAATCTGGATTAGTCGGGCTAATTACAGTAGGTCTTCCAAATATTAATTAGGTACAGAAAAAATAAATATTATTTATAACTCGACAAGTAAAAGAATCACTTTTTTTTTTTGTTATATGTCGGAAAACAGTTTGTGCCTGCATATGTACTTTTCTTTTTTACGCTTAAGAGTATAAAAATATTTGTTGGCAACACAGAAGATAAAAAAAAGTGGGATAATATCAATTAGTTGCAACAAACTTGACCTTTTCAAAATAATAAAGAAACTTTTGAAATATAAATATACAACCGTCTGCCACAAATATCAAAAGTTTTTATTATTTACTCCTTCCGTTTCATTTTGTTTGCCTTTTTTTTTTTTGGATGTCTCAAAATGTTTACAAGGTTTCTAAATTTAGAGATGCAAACAATTATTTTCCCCATAATAAACTTTATGATTGTTCATTAAAGTGCAACAAAACCTGACCCTTGTTCAAGAATAATATTAAAGAAACTTTTGGAAATATAAAATATATCACCTGATCTGCCACAAAATATCAAAAAGTTTTTTATATTTACTGCCTCGTTTCATCTTTGGTTTGCTTTTTTTTTTTTTTGGATGTCCTTCATTTTTTTTTTTGGATGTCTCAAAATGTTTACAAGGTTTCTAAATTTAGAGATGCAAACAATTATTTTCCCCATAATAAACTTTATGATTGTTCATTAAATGATTAACTTTTATTAATATTTTAATGAGTTAAGGGTGAAAAATGGCAAAATAACTTTGATTGACTAAATTCTTAATATGCGTGTTTTGTCAAACCATACAAACAAAATGAGATGGAGAGAGTATTTTTTAAATAAAATTTGCTAACATAAAATAATGTCACGTAGAATTTGGTTTATTTGGATTATGAACGAGTCCGCAGTTATCCACTATTAACACTATTTTGCGCTGATAGGTCATGCATGTGCTTAGTAGTTTATAGGTGTACTAAAGATTATGTCACAATTGATAGGTGTTATTTTTATAATATTTTTTATATAGTTTTTGTTAGGATTTTTAGTAGTTTTAATCACTTTAGTTAGTTTTTATTCGGTTTTATTGTTAGGTGATTGTTTAGTAGTTTTTAATCAACTTAGTTAGTTTTTTTTTAGTAGTTTTAATCACTTTAGTTAGTTTTTATTCGGTTTTAGTTATATTTTTGTTCAAAGCTTCCTTGAAACATAATTCACTTGATCTTGATGAAATTTGTAGGATTTTGATACAAAAAAGAGCAAAGTAAGCAAAACTCTCAAAGGCTAGCACACCCTGGCCATGCAATTCAGAACGCCCGTGTAGAATTAAGGTAAAACCCGCCTGGAGACTCAAAGTCTAGCACGACCCAGCCGTGCTATATGGCATGCCCGTGCCACAGTATGATATAATTCAAAGGCGTGCTCCTCTAAGCACGGCCCGTGCTGCATCCATCCTAGTAACTTAGAGCCTAGCACGCTCCCAGCCGTGTGGACCAGCACACTCGTGCTACAAATTCATCTCAGAGTGTGCTTATCTTAGTAAGGCCTGTGTTGTGATTACCTTAGAACTCAGGCTCCAGCACGCCCAGCTAGTGCCAAATGGAACGCCCGTGCCAAAAATCAAGTTCTGTTTTGAGCCGAAAACGTCAGCCAGTCTTCTCCACTTGCATGGGCCCACATGAGATACTTTACTAACGTGCCAATCAAGTTTAAATCCTATTTAGACACATGGGAGAGTCCTAATTGAGAAGAAATTAAAAGTCTAAACAGTCTTCTATCTCTAAGAGATTTCCTACTCAATAAAGACTCTATTTCGTAAACGAAGTCGGAGTTTTTCCCAGGAAGTCTATATAAAGAGAGAATCCATTCATTGTAGATATATCTGGTTCTACCATATTTTTATCTATTGTTTTTCTCTCTCTCTAAAACTTTAAGTGATCAAGATTTGTGTCAAAATTCAAGGAAGCCGTCCACGTTATTTGTTGACTAGTTTTTATCCCTAAACTCCTAATCTTGTTTTTACTTTTCATTATTCACAATGATTATGGAATTATTTTCAAGTTTAATTGAGTTTTATTTAATTACTATGTAGAACTAAATTCTCATACTAGGGATTTGATGTAGCTTAATTTCTTTACCAATTCATAATATTAGATTTGTTTTTCTTTATTCAAAGTATAATTCATTATTGAACTTAATGCTTCCAAGCAGAGGTTCTCTCCTGTATTGATTTATTTCATTACTCACTATCGGGAGAAGGGTTTTTTTATATGAAAAAGATAATAAATTACATGAGAATAATAACTTGATGCGGACGCTATATGATATGAAATTCCACAAAATTAAACCATAAAACTTAAATGATTAATTCATGTTTGATTGTACTATTGGAAGATAGGATTAGGCGGTTTAAAATAGCTACACTACACGTGAGAGCTTGTTAGTATTTATGTTATTTCCTCTACTTGAACCAATTAAAATTAATTAATCAAACTTAATAAAATAAATTGATAAATTAAGTGAAGTTCAAAACCCTAGTAGCTTTAATCCTTGAATTTCTTATTTCAAAATTTCCTTAGCTTTAATTCTTTTTATCTCCTTTAATTTGGTTTTAAAGCTATTTGTGACAATCCTACTGATCGATCAGCTTAAGTGATATCGAGTTGAGTCGAGATTGAACCAAAACTCCGTTGGGGTAGAATGATTTTATAAGGGATTACTAGTGACGAGAAAAAAGATTAAGCATGTAGATGATAGCATAAAAGATTGAGCTGGGTATTAATGTTAGGTCTGTACAATTGACGGTGTTAACCATTTAGACTTTCAACACAAAGTCATGGATCTTGAGAGCTTACCCTAATAACCCATTTCACTTTCCCATTTCAGTTTATCTTCATCTTCTTCCTACCTCTTCCCACCTTCCTTTCAATTTATGTAGTCCCAAAGCCTTAAACTTTCAACTTCTCTTTTATCCAATAAGGTAAACCTTCTTAAGTTCATAATTGAATCATTGGTATTATTTCTTAGAATCATAAGAAGCTTATGTATAGTAAGGAGTTCAAGAGTGTAGAAACAAAGAAGCTAAAAGAGGAGTCAAGCTTTTGGAAGTAAAGTTTGATATCTTCTAGTTATTGTCCATTTTTCTTTCAATGAGAATTGTGTGTGTGTCGCTAATGAACAATATTTGCTTCATTTGATGGAACTGTAATTGGGAAAAACAGGGGTGAAAACAGCGAATATGAATAAAGAAGTAAATAGTGGACGTTTTTATGTTGAACAGGCTTGCCTGAAATTTTACCATAACTTTCATCTTGATTTGACCCCTTAATGATGAATTAGAAGTGTCTAGAGAGTTTGTTCCTCTAGTGTTAGTTTACAAATGGTTTTAATCATTCAAATGAGTTGTATATTGAATATATGACCAAAAAGAGACAGACAGTGCAGGCTGAAGCGCGCGCGCGAATTTGCGCCATGACGAGTTCGCGTTGCCTTCTCGGCGCTCGCGAATTTGAATTACGCGCTCGCGACTTTCACCTGAAACTCTCTGACTCTCATTTGCACATCTCGCGCTTCGGGGACTTTCAAGTACGCGCTCGCGACTTGTGCCGCAAAACTCTCTGACTTTCATTGCAGCATCTCCGCTCGCGACTTGAAGTACGCGCTCCGTTACTTGGCCCTGGTCCTGAAGCCTCACACCTTCATCGCGCAGCTGCGCGGTAATTTGCCTGATAACTCATCTGTCTCTCATGGCACTTCTCGCGCTCGCGACTTTCAAGTACGCGCTCGCGACTTGTGCCGATAACTCATCTGTCTTCTCATTTTGCATTCTACG